GTTACTATATCGCATCTCACACGCTTAGAATCATTTTCGAAGCACAAACTCCTCTTATGTGAAGTCATTTTCTGAACAATTCATAGTCTGAAACTGTTGTTGCGTTATGTGTTTGAAAATCAGCAGTTATAACTGGACAAAACAGCAGTGGTTGTGATGATGCATCACTCAGTGTGTAAATGTCACAGTCCTACAATTGGTAATCTGAGTTACATATAGCTCAGTAACAACATATCTGACTGTGATATCCAGTGTTTCCTGTCGCTTACTTTCACTCGCTAACACCAAACGGCATGCACTATTATGTCAGGTCATTTTACCTAGTGAATGTTTCGTAACGTAATCAGCATTAATGGTTAATTAGCTTGAGATTGGTTACATTTAAGTGAATTCATGTGTGGCTGTGATCGCACACTAGAAAAGGGCAACAAACTAAGTAGAAACAATAACTCAGCGACCTTCCAGTTGATTTACGTTCATGGGTATACAGGTCTCTGTGAATTACCCACCTAGACTATCCACCCCACGACGGCTTCAGAGCGTGTCGGAAATCGTGATAGAGGTATCGAATGGACCATAGAAATACAATATGAATTTGAGTGCATAACTAGTGGATTTCCTAGTTGAAATCTTGTTGATAAGACCAAGTGCGATTTCAATGGTTTCTTTTTAGAAGAAATATTATACATGGATGATAATTAATTTAGGAACACTAATCTAGAAGATCCTTTATTCAACCCTAAGCGTTATGTATGGTTTCTTATAATTTTAATCATATTCTTCATTCCCTCTTTATTTCACAAACTATTATATGAATGGACATCATGTATCAATTTAGCCTTTTATCGTGCTAACTAACCAGACAGATTTTGTTCCATTCGAGCATAGATTGATCAAAGTGTTGACTGGATAAATGTCTTTTAGAACAATAATCAAAATATATAGTATTCATATACATTCGGTAGATACACTAGATTTTGAATTGACTAATTCGTACTGTCTGCTTGCTTTATTTTTGTTGATAGTTGTGAACATCTTGTCGTATGATAGACCATGAAGAGATCTACACAGTTTATCTTTCAACTGAAATAAAAAATATTCTTCTTTGGAAAAATATCATTTACACTAATCAGACGTTTATTTGTTTATGTAATATTCTAATCATATGGAAATTAACTCAAAAGGAAAAGTACACTTACATCTTATTAACATATTTCTATAAATAGGATTTAGGAAATTCATAAAACGATTATTTAAGTGATATTTGTATTTATGATGTGTTCACATTAGTTTCAGATTATTATTATTATTATTATTAGACATATGTTTATATATAATGTACAGGTCTTTTTCACGGAACAACCATTGATTTTTGTCAGTTAATATTTCTTTCCAAAAATTGAAACAACCAAGTTAATGGCAACTGATCGAAAACTCTCTAAACGACTAAAAATAACAGTCGAAAGGATAGTGGATACTTCTAAATCCTTGTCCGGTCAATATGGTATGTTGAAACAAGTTGACTTCTGAGATTGTTAAGTGGTTCAAATGCCTGCCCTTCTCTGAACCAGGTATCGTGTCTAGTAGCAATGGATCACTGATTACTCCAGATAGGGGGAGGGGCCTAGGTTTATAAAACAAGTACAACTGAGAGAAATACCAGTAAATCAGTATGGGATGCTGTTCTAGGTCTTTAAGAACACATCAACTTTCTTCCTGAAAGACTCTGTGGAAGTTGTTTGGGCCATTTCAGATGGTGGGGAATTCCGCGACTTGACTACTCACAAAGAGTAGAGAGTATTCTCAAAATCCAACTCCCAAATAGATCTCCGTATGGAGTAGTGTTTACTTCACTTTCCATTTCTAAACACAGCTAGTCTTTTGCCTGAAGCCTCAGTAATACATTTTGAGAGATTTTCTTTAATAATATTATGTTTTGTATGCAAAATTATTAGTCATGACATCTGGTATACTTATAAGTAGTTCAAATGATCTTCAATTAAAGAGATCAAAAACATTCGTCTTCGACTGCAAACATAATTCCGAACATATTCTGTGTTGATGGGGTCGTGATGTAAAACTAATATACTTGTCTCTCATTTAACTGAACAGTGGTTCTGTAATGAGGTCAAGCCACAACTTCCAGGAACAACGAATTGACGATTTTGTTCTACTCAAATAAGACAATTTTTTAACTATAATAACCAGACAAACATACTGAACAGTCCATTTGTTTTTAATCTAGTGACCACAAAAGTTAGTTTACGTTTAAATAAACGTTAATTATTAGTTGTGAATTCTCCTTCGTCTTCCCAACACTGGTGATGCTGTCCACAACAACGATGGAAGCTTCACAAACAAACAAACCCCTTGAGAACGAAACACCTTCCAAAGCATCCGCCTAATCTACGAATTTTCTCCATCATTTCAAAATTAGTCAATAGACTTGTAATTTAAATTATTGCTTAAGTAGACTTAACTGTTCAGCGCTCAATGTGAATGTCCTTGATTGGTGCATGTTGCATTAACTGACCAATATTTCCTCAATTTTGTAGTTTACACCGCTGATTGACTTCGTTTAATGAATTATTTAAGGTCGGCAGACACTGGATAACTGTTTTGTTCTACTACGGAACTCCTCCTAAGTGTATATCAATAACACATGCTTAGATCGAGTCCACAATCTTCGGCCATCACAGCAACTGGTTAACCTTCAGATCACTGAATCAGTACTACCCAATATTTTACATTCGTAACTCCAGTCAATTCGTGATTCCTGTCTCACGCCAGAGATTTTTCAGCACCGGAAATTTTCTTGTAGGGACTAATCAGTACTGAGTACATGATTGTTATAGGGTGGAAGGTAGAGATTGGTCAATATTTCCTAGTTGTTATACAATTTTATTAATCTAAAATTACTTTCGGATAAAACTATTTCCATTCATAACTAACAAGTGACCAACCTAAAATAAAACAAATTCCTAATCTATCTGTAAATGAATGTAAGCTTATCTATCGTATCATTCAATTTGTCATACACTCATAATTATAGCAACAAATATATTAAATAAGTTTCATTTATTTTATGGAAACGAAATTATTACCATTTTGTAAAATCTTTATCACGATTATCAGAAAGAATGTGTTATCTTTTATGGTTGTTACTATATTAGATAAACACAAAGATCCACATTACCCTCAACTCAATCGCCTATTATTGAACATGCCCATTTATTTATTACTTGTACAGTTTTAGAACCAGCATATTGAACTAACATAAAATATGCACCAAAGTTATTGCTACAAAGTGGTGGTCTTTTTTTTCTCAAATTTATTATCGAATGACAGAAATTAAGGAAACACGTCAAAACAAGAAACTGGCAGAACAAAAACTATGAGTGGGGATTTGATTTGTTTAGTTGTTTGCAATTTGCTTTTTTCTCTATATACCTACATGTCAGCCACTATCTTCGTTGGTAGTTGTAGATACTTTAACAAGTATTTATTCATGTGAGTATTCTTCTTTTTTGTAAGATGAATTATCATTGGGTTACATCACGGACTAGCACCAAGTGAAGGACCGTTGATAACCAATGGTGCGTTGAATAACTGTTTTGTCACAACTTTCGTATTCTCAACAACCTTTATTTAAGACCACATATGAGATCTAATCCAGGACCTAAACGTCTGCTAGTGGGAATAATACTTTAAGACCACTGACTTGAAATCCAACGATTCACGTTTTCAGTCTCAACTAATTTATCATAATGAGTGACTATCATTCAATTCGACTGAGAACAACTATCATATTCCCCATGTGGTCAACTCCACAGATCAACGCTTCATTATAACAACGCATCATGACAATCAACTAACTACCGCCCCATCGATAATGAATATGAGAATTTCTCAAACTGATTAATTGATTGATCAGAAAAATGTGTGGATTCACTCACTTGATGTACTTATTTTCATCTCATGTTAGTGGATAATTAATTCCCATTTGAAATTTTAAGATGTTAACCATAAAACATTAAGATTAATTAAATAAGTATTGAGAATTAAAGAGTCTTAGTTCGATCATTAAACAAAAAGCGCTCGCTTACCCTTCGAACTAGTTAATTAGTAAGGTCGTGTGATTTCACCTTGTCCTTATTCAGGACTCCAATTTATAAGTCTCTGTTGGTATGTGTACATCCTATATGGATGCCTCGATATTCCCTTTTAATTATACGTTCCTAGTACATTGAACTGTGACTAATAGTGGAATCTAGGACGTGCACTAATTCTTATCCGGGATTTCTCAGTCAAACACACCTGCACTCCAGTGTTGTTGTTCATATTTTAGCTCCTTACCAACTCAGATTATCCCGAAGCACTAGGACTTGAACTCATAACATTTGTCACGGTCTCATGAGAGCTATTAACGAACAATGGAAAACGCACACTTCAAGTAAATCGAATCAGGCTTTCTGGATATTCTGGCTAAACTTATTGGCCAGCTACTAACTTATATCTAACAACATTCATTAGTTACTTAAGTTCATGGTATATCCGAATCTGAATATAATTCATTGTGAATAACACCTTAAAAGAAGCTTAATGTTTACCATTGAGTATCACAATTTACTCAATTGTATCTCATTTACTTTCAAAGCAATTAAATAAGATGTCAACTTGACACCTTGCGCATGTTTGCTGAAATCAGTGTTTTCAGTCACTTTTATTCCTTTTAAATTCTCTAAATCGGTTAATATTCTTCCCATGTAAGCATTACTAACAGTTTGTCATGTTGAGATTTAAACCGTCCAACAACTAGAAAATGACAGACACTAGTGAGTCAGTGAAAATTAGGTGAAAGTAAATTATCTCATTTTGTTTGGGCTTTCCTTTTGTTAGTTTCTCCAAGAGAACGAAATAGTTGTTAAGAAATAACTGTCATACTCCAATATTTGTGAAACCATATTCGTTTTGTCTTTGCGTTTCTTTCTTGTGTATAAATGTTTGCAACGCTAAACTTTGTTGTCCGTCTTTCTCCTGTCCAACTAGCACTGATTACGATTTCGATAATTGCTGAGTGGTCAACGCCAATGAACAAAGACAACTTACTAAAAAAATTACTACAACCACGTGATGGATCGCGAGTAATCCTGCGTAAATTTGCCAAAAACATATGTATATGTATGCATCTGAATGGGACAGTTTATACAGAGGTATGTAATTATTTAATTATGAAGTTGCTTCAATACATTTTGGTAATTTAAGAATCACTGACCTTGGACAGATATCTGCATGAATTGTTATGAAAATATTGAACAGAATAGGCAGTGTTTTCAACTTACTGATCCCAACTGGATAAATACTATAAACTGAAACGCAATCAGTGCTATTCTGTTTTGCTTTAGCTTCTTAGTTATGCGATTATTATTCGTTTGGTACCAACAGGCACCGAATATGTTATAACTTGTCGTTTGAATGCTTATTGTCTTGGTTCTTTTAATGCTACTTTTTGTATCTGGTTGTCGCTGATTGTTATGTCGGAAACGCTTATCACTTATACTCGGAACGAGGGACCTCTGCAGTTCACACGACGCGGAAGTAAGAACATAAAGACTGGTATAAGTGATGATTTATTAACCCCAAAACACGACGACCCTAGTAGAAAATACACTCATTTATATATTGATTGTGCACCCATTTCGATGGAAAGTGTCAATAATCTGATTCTGTATCAATCATTAGTTTGGTACCAATCTATCAAGGCTAATGTAAGTTTGTAAACATCCAATCCATTGAACTACCTCAACTACTATTTCGCTGAATTGATCCACTTCGTTCATTCGTATAGTATCATCTCATTCTTCTAAGGCGCAACACAAATGCGAGTCTCTGTTTTGGTATTTAAATGTTAATCTTAAAAGACTCTGGATTTAACCAGTTTGCTCTTCCAACTGGATTACATATTCTATGTACTCTCGACGTTCACTGGAAATCCGATTAAGTTATCGATTCCTGAGAAACTGATTAGGGTGAGCACTCATAATGAGTAGTATTTATCGTTCTCAGGTTTGATAAAAAAGCTTGATAAAACTTCACAAGACTTGACAAAACAAATAGAAAGTAGGAGAATTTGAAAGTTTTTTTTAAATTCAAATATTTACACACTCAATATCCATTGAAGCCATATAATGAGAAGTTGTTTATTTCATGTACATGTACTCATCATTTATTGTCTTCTTTACACAGCGTATAATTAACCAGACACTAACTGATAACTGTGAATGGCACCTCAGAGCATCAAGGCATGGAATAGGCTTTGAACGCCGACTAACTGAAGATGACATCACCGACGAATCTCAAAAACACTTCCTTTCTAATCCATTTACTAACTCAACAGTCTATGATGGAACGTCTCCAACGTTAAATGTAATTGATGAGAAATCCTATATATTAGCTTCCGGTTGGACTCATCAACTGTGGCAACCTGAAGCGACGTGGCAAGTTTATGGATTCCAGCCAAAAGGATTACTAGCTGTTATTGAAAAACAAAGAAACTCCTCAAGTTTCCAACGTTTCGTTTCAATGCATAAAGAAGGTTCCAATCAGTCGGACGTAAATAGCACCTCAACAATATCCCCATCATCCTCAAGTAATACTGTGAAAATAGGTTCACAAGAAATGTTAGTTTTAGAAGCGCCTGCCTATCACTTCAACACACTGCATCACAAAGCAAAACTTAAGCACTGTAGCATGCTGAAAAATAAACTTGCAAAACTCGTACAAACGGAATTGCTTATGAGTTTACAAATCCTAGATAAATATAGACAAGCATTTCGGGATTTCAAACTTCTTATTAACAAACATTCAATGACTAATCATAAGTATAATATTAATAAGGTAACATCAAATACTCTAGCGGAACTGCTAGATCAGTGGTTGATGCTCCTGGACTATAAATGGCGCCAGACAATTAGATTAACCTACAAAACAGATTCAATGTCCAATTACCAAGTGGACAATTGTTCGTTGAGTTTCAAATCATCGTTCGAGATAAACACTGTTGGTAATGATAGTGATGATAGAATACTAGTTAAATTTTATGAAACACAACTGAAAACAAAGATATATTATGATCTATTTGAAATTGTACAGGATATAGTCCAGTGGACTGGCGAACAAAAACGGCATTGGCTACAGAACCCACGGGTTATGAAATTATTTCATTATTTACATATCAAATGTCCATCGCCAAAACAGTTGAGGCAAGCCTCATTCATATTAAGACAATATCTACCAAATTACTCACCAGAAGTCATTCATTCCAAGAATAATTTTCATTTTGGTCTCATGGGTAACTTGGAGCCAGCAACATTTAAAAAGCTCTTAGCACATGACATTAAATTAGCTAACAAACTAATTGACCGGGCTGTTTATATGAAATTTGAAGAGTATTATTTTTGGCCGATATTACGACATGTAAATACGAAAGCGATCGTAGAACACTCGATTTTCTTTGAAAATGATGTGCGCAATGAAATCAAACAAATGCCTTCGAATAGCATGTGCTACAGGTTATTTATGAGGAGCTGGAAATTTTATAGAGAAAATGATTCACCTAGATCATGTTTAAAATAATACCACTTCCTAAATTTACAATTACAATTATGTCAAACTACTACATAGTAGTATAAATCTCTTCACTAAAGTTATAGATTTTTATTTGGTTGTTCACTGTTTTCGCAAGTATCATTTTCACAGTATTTAACCCACTTAATAAATTTCAATCAGTTGCTGTTTTTAAAAATTTAAGAATGAACTGTGATGCATTTAAAACCATGATCATTTTTATTGTGTTTAATATTACTACTATTACGACCACCATCAGGACTATTGATATAATGTTGGACAAGGACGTTTACAACTGATACTCTATTCACATATACACACTATCTTCGTATTCAATTTCATTTGTACACAAGTACTATTTCGTCAGTAATGTTTGAGTTGAACACTAACTAAATGTAAGTGGTCATTAAGTTTAATTGTGAATGACCGTGATGAACAAGTCAACATTACAAGATTATTCTAAAGTGAAAGAAAATAACATATGTATGTGCACATTCTTTTGTATATATTATACATACATACATCTGCAAATTATCTAAATACATATTTGTAATGTTAGTATTTAAAATATTCTCTTTTGCAATTGTTCAATGAATACTTTATAATGCTATATTCATAATGATATTATGAATCTAAAAAGAAATAGGAATATAAATCCAAATGGATATCCAAAATTTCCCACCTGATCGTTGTGTGTTTTTGTTCTAATTGCCTTCATTTTTTACCACAACTACTATCCTTTGATTATGTTTGTAATACGCAATTATACATAAACACACACGTATACTAATACACACGCAGACAGATACAAACGAATAAGTACACTTACACTTATTGTATACACTTATGAATTACCAATGTTCCTTTTTCTTATTGTTAATAATAAGTGAGAACAAAAACATTTGATGGATAAAAAATTATTGGACTTTTTGATGAACACCAGATTATTGAACACTTATTTAGAACCTTTTTGTCTGAAAAGTTGTTCATGATATACATTCATGGCTACCTAAATTTTAGTGGTGATAAATTCTGTATGTTAGACAACTTAGTAAGATTTCATTATCATCGTGGACAATAATATCAGTGTCATGTTCTTCGGTTACCCAACCACACACATACATACATACTCTCCATATCAACCCCAGTCTGGTATAAGAGTGAGAAGACTAGAAATGTGTGGGAAGCTCTAGCTGACGACCGAATCAAAGTGTACACGACTAATACGTACGCACATGCGTATGTCTCCTTCCACATATCTTACCTATTGTTTGACCTTAAGCTAGCATGTGCACACAGGAACGTGATATTTCTGCACTAGCCCACTTTATCAGTCATACGTTGACTTTGAAGTATCAGTTTGAGTTACAAAGCTTCTCTACTATCCCATGGATATTTAACATTGGTAATACGTTATCTATTATATAATGGAAGGAATGATCTTTATAAACTGTTGCTCTATATTTACTAACTTTTACTGGATAACATTATTGATTATTGGATTAATTTATTGGAACATGTAACATCCGTAGCGTCACAATGATTCCACTTGTTTGTTCGTCGTAGTGTTGGTTTCTTACGATTGAATGTGGACTCGTTTACATTAGATAAAGAACACGTACAATCTGACTCAGTAAAGCCAAAAGCTTTTATACAATATTCATTTATAGAAATGAATGCTAACCAGTCTTTATCAAATACATTAAATAAATTCTGTCTAATTTAGGAATAAATTTTTTTACTGAGAATCATATTCCACCCAACTGTTCACAACAGATCTAATAGGGGTTCACGTGAATCAGTATATGGAAAATTGTGAATTAATACAGAATGAGTATTCACATTGACCAATCATATCATCTATATTACGATTTGGAGTTATATCTTCTCTACAACTGGCTATCAACATACGACCAAACATCCAGACCCTGTTATAATCACTTCCGTTCGGTTAGCCGAATTTCAATGTGTCTTTATGTGATTGGTGCAAGTGACCTCAAATATGATAGACTGGCCTGGACAGGTAGTGAATACAATGGAACATAGTTTCTTTCAAACTAACCTTTATGATTCAGTCACTTATATGACGTTTATGAGAGTTCTCACAGTATAAAAGGCCCACATTTAAGAGATTCACCGATTTTGTAAATATTGTTAGTGCTGAAGTATACGGAGTTTGCAACTGATTTTGAGGAAATCATCCGACGCGAAGACAGACAGGGTTGACAAACGAAATCCTACCTTAATATTGGAAAAATAGATGACAATGCGTTACACTTTGACGTTTATGTGTACAGACAATATTAACCACAATAACATACTTCTTATTTTTCAATAAACTGAATTATTATTGTGCTACTTTGTGAAGTAAGAAATACCATCTTATTCAGCCTTGATTAATTTCGTCTTCATGTTGACTGTAAATCTAAAGGCTAGACAACAGTTTAACGATAATTACGAAGTAGAAATCTAATTCGCATGCTAAATACAGGTTTAAGTATTAGGCTCTGAATCTCATTGTCCGCATAAAGACTAACTATATTGCCCATCTAGACAAACTTTAGTGCGTAGAGCAACGTCTGGACTTTCTTTCGAGATCATACTACTAGTGAATTGGTGCAACGACGGAAGCACAACGCCAAGTACTTGGGGGCTCCCTTGTGGAAGAAATGAGTAAACTACAATCATTTAGTCATAGATGCTTTCAAAGCGTTGTTCACATTTGGTGGAACAATCGAGTGAGCCACGCCACGGTTACCAGACAAAAATGAAAAACGCGTTGGTGGGACTGGAATGTGTACTGCGTGTGTAAAACAACCGCCTACCTTAGCTGGATTAGAGATAGATGGGAGAAAACCACAGGCAGCCAACCCAAGACAACCCACCAGTCCATGAAGTCAGTGTCCGTCAGACTGAACCATTGTGTTAGGTGCGGACTACCTGGTTCGGAGGCATCAGGTGACTATAGTGTTTAATGCAAACAGGCTAAATCCATACAACTGTATACTCATTTCGACGGAACATGCAACTACCAAACGCATTACTTCAGTTCTATTGGTTAACTTCTGCTCAGTTGTGTAGTTAGTTTGAATGCTACATATGCGAGTCCTTCTAAAATACCAGTGTTTAGTTGCCCATCTATCTATCTGTTAACTACATTTCATCATTACATTGATCTATAAATATTTGGGACACACTGATGAGCAATTGAGAATCCGGACAGTTCGGACTCGGTTCAATTCACTGCACATTAGACCAGTCTAATGCAATGCTGGATATATTTCATCCTAATCCCTATACTATGGTTATTTCAGTCCAGCTGTGTTCGTTAAGTTTTATCATACTTTGATTGTTTATTATTACTGTACTTGTCAGTTAATTCAACTACTTGAATATACATTCAGGGCCATTCATAGTTGAGTTCTTACTTAATCCGTCCGTTCTCAGTCATCAAGTTGATGACAGTGAATATAACTGTGACATAGCTCAGAATCCGTCAAGCGTGGTTGCATCCAACATTTATCTCCTCCTACATCCTCGGCCTCGATATTGTTTCAAGATTGTTGTGCTGTTTCAGTCAGCCAAAGAAATTTCACCAATTATCGCTCTTGAGTCAATTTTAAATAAATGCTTGCCTTGGTTGAAACTATATCGATTCACTGCAATTTTTTATTTCGTTCACAAAATGAAGAAATAGTTTCACTGATAGTAATTAATCTCCCAATTGAGTGGCCGACATTTTCGTAATTTCATCAATTACATTTATAGGATTCATGGTATGTACTTCAACCCAAAGAAAATGAGTCTGACAGAATAAATAACAAACTAAAAATCGTGCAAATACTTTATTTTTTTCTAAGTGTTATGGAAGATATTTAGCTGAAGCATACATTATCCACAAAAATGCGCTGCAATGGTTTAGGTATAAAAATATATTACACTAAAATTACTAACTGGATAAGTCAGACAGACGATATTGTTGAAGTTTTGCTTTTTCTAACAGTACTTCTTCGGCTGATAACACATTTTGTTTATTTTGACAGAGCTGACCAATGTTTCTTACAATTTCATTGGGTGTTTTTAAAACTGTCTGATTATATAAGGGTTCGTAAAACGGATGCCACATGCCTTGAATTGAAGGGCGTTTAGTTGACCAGTTTTTATACATTGGAAAAATATTCACTCCAGAACGAGTACGTAAGAAATTGATCCAGTTAGCAATTTCTTCACAGGTCATATCTTTTGCACGTACATACTGCCAGTTACCACATACTGAAATAATAATAATAATAATTCGTAAATATTCAAACCTACGATACTCAGCAACTAGAAGAGGAGGTCTATTTCTTCGTGGCTTTACATAGATAACGGTTGCTGGATTATCTCGAGCGAAGTCCACTAAATGATTTTCAATATAATCTCTGTGTAAAAATCATTAATAGTAATAGCAAGAAGAAAATGCAAAATAATTTCACATTAATGGTAAAAGTTATGGGTGGAAAAATGTGGCAGTGCATATATTTCATGTACTAGTTACATCCAGATATGAATATCGAAACCTTATTATGAAATGATTCTAGAAGTGATTATTAAAATATTTGTTAACCACAAAACTCAAAGGCTATTGCACTATCAAACCTTTAATAACTTTATTGGTCGAAACTATGGACGGTTAACTTGAAATTACGGGGTTCTGGACCAAATGGATGGGGATATTTTCGTCGATTGAAATACCACTAGTGGTTTATAAACCGGACACTTGTAGTTGAACCAATGAAATAAATAGGTGGAATGAGATTGATACTGACTTATTACTCAAGAAAGCTAGCGACAATCTACTAAACGAGAACTTTGTTTACTTTACCCAAAAAGAATTCGATATCCATTGACCATCTGAAATAATTAAGGATGAAGCCTGCCAACAGTACTTAACAACCTTAGTACTTAAAGTTTATGTCACGAGGCCATGCACTGGAAGTCTGTTTGTTACTCGATTATTGGGGTAGTACTATTACCAATGACAACAACAATTAACCTATTCATCAAGTACTTAGGCATGAGTCACACTGTAAGTATGAGGGCTGATGATACCACCCGAATACCTGAACCAAAGTAGGTGAGACGGGGTTCGAACGTGAGGTCTGCTGACCGAGAGTCGAAAGTCACAACCACTAAGCAATTGTTCTGTAAAACTGTTCAGTCTTTGGTTAACTGAAAACCATAAAGAATGGAAGTCATAAGTATATGCTTGCTAATCACTAAGGTAAAAAATCAAATACGGAAATGTACAACGATTCACTTAATTATGAAGCCAGGAATTTAACAAGACCGTACACCAGCAACAGATATCTATCATAATCGATTACAAAGTTAAAGAAAATATGTGTGCTGAATTATAATACTAGTAACAGCACAAATGTTTAATACGATATGCGTTCATTCGAATGATTAGACAATAACAGAATAAGATGTTAAACACATATTGTGGTGTTGTAACCAGTATAGACAAACGTATTTCAAAATGACTCAAATGAGTAAACTTAACTTGCCAAACACAACACAAAGACAGTTCAAATAATACGTTTAATGTGTAGAGAAAGAGCAATTGTGTATGCACCTGAACCACTAGGACTGATTTAAAGCCACGTATTATTATTATTTTAACACTTAGATATTGGTACAAGGAGGCACTAAATACATATGCGCCAAACAAATCTCATTCGATATGTGTGAGGGCTGTGATACTGCCCGGGTGCCCAAACCGAAGCAGGTGGTTTTCTTAGGGGGTCACCCCCCGAACCTTCGACCTGAAGGTCTGATCCACAAGGCAGTGGAGCATCGTATGAAGATGCAGTCCCATGGAAGCCGGTGACCAACAATTGGTCCATATGCCATTTGTTCCCGCAGGATACTGGAGCCCATGTGCACCATTAATTTGGAATCCGGTTAAAGCGCCGGACATTCGCTTTTCGTTCTCTCATTTTCGTAAATAACACCCCCGCCACGAGAAGGCAGTGAGTAGGACTTCCCTGGCAGAGGCTATATACGCATGGCCATGTGAGGACATTTCGAGAGGGAGAGCGGACTCTCCCCACTCTCGGCCGTACCAGGGCATTTGGGGGCCACGTAAACCCCAATCGTAAATTCGATTAGTGCCCACATGGATTTGACTAATGGTCAATGATTTTATGGATAGTCGTTGTCTTGATTCGGTCACCCTTAGTCTTCATTCAACTCGCAAGTTTGTGCCTAAT